GCGCTGGGGGGGCGCCTGATGGAGGTCCAGACTTGTGAATTGCTGCGGTTGGCTTGGGCGGTGGCGGTGCTCGGGCTGCAGACGCCTGAGGACGAGCGGGAGCCTGCAGGATTTGACATCGCCAGCAGCGGCGTCGTCCGCGAGGGAGCGGGCCGGCGGGGGCCGCGGGTGGCGGGGCATTGCGCGGGCGCGCGCGGCCGGGGCCTGCTGTCGGAGCTCGGCGCCGAGCTCGCGCGGCGCCGACTGGGCCCGGCGCGCGTGGCGACGGCGCTGTGGTCGCTGTCGCGTCTCGGCGGCTCGCCCGCCGCGCGGCGCGCGTTCCACCTCCTGTCGCAGCGCCTTATGGCCGAGCCCGGCGGCGGCGGCGCCGCGCAGCTGGGGCCGGCTGCCGTTGTTAAGCTCGCGACCGCCTGCGCCCAGGCCGCGTGGGCGCCGTCGGCGCTGCTCTCGGCGCTCGCCGCGCGCGGCGCGGCGCTCGCGCCGCGGCTGCCGGCGCCGCTGCTCGCGCAGCTGGTGTGGGCGCTGGCGGCGGCGCGCGTGGCGCACCGGGGGCTGTTGGAGGCGTCGGCGCGGCGGGCGGCTGAGCTGGCGACGGCGTTTGCGGATGAGTCAGCCGCAGGCCCCACCACCGCAAGCAGCAGCGGCGGCGGCTGCGACGGCAGCGACAGCAGCGACAGCAGCAGGAGCGACGGCAGCGACGGCAGCTGCGGCAGCAACGAGGGCTTCACCAGCAGCAGGCAACCAGAGGCGCTCCTGCTGGGCTGGTCGCAGCTCGGCTTCTGCCCGCCGCCGGCGCTCTCTCTGCGCCTCGAGGCGGTGGCGTCGGAGCTGCGGCGGCGCGAGGGTCGCGCCGTCGCGAGGGCCACGCCGCCGCCGCCGCCGGCCGGCGGCGCAGGTGGGGCAGCGGCGGGCGGGGCGCCGGCCGCGGCGGCGTCGGGGGGAGTAGAAGCGGCCGCCGCCGGGTCGCTGGGCGGCGCGGGCGCGGGCGCGGGCGCCTCGCGGCCGCGGGCGTCGGTGGCTGGTGCGGGCGGCTTGGCCGACCGCTTGGCAATCGCGACCGCGCGGGGCCGTTTGGTGCGGCCGGCGCACCCGTCGCAGCGGCAGCAGCTGGAACCGCCACAGCAGCAGCAGCAGCAGCAGCCGCCGCAGCAGCAGCAGTTGCAGCAGTATCAGCAGCAGCAGCAGTAGCAGTGGCAGTAGCAGTAGCAGCGGCAGCGGCTGCCAGGAGCTGGCTGGCTGGACGCCGCTTGTACCACCACCCTGTACTCTGCAGTCGCGCCACACCGCGCGAGTCTGTAACACTGTTGTTTTACGAATCCATTCCTTTCCCCAGCCTCCAAAGACCTGACTGTTGCGCAGTTCACGTTTACAGTTCAGTCTTTTTAGGGGCAGGTGGTAAGCCAGGATCGTTCAGCGTCAGAGGAGTTGCGGGTTCAAACAAGGAGGGGCGGCGGCCTGCGTTTGCGCCGGCCCGCGCCGTGTGGGGTGTAAACGACGCGGCGGCAGAGGCGGAACGGGCCGGCCGGCACCCAACCTCCCAACAGCAGGTCTCTGGGCGTGGGGTGGCCGCAAAAAAGTGGAGCCCTGGCCCAGCCGCGGCGCGTTGTTTGAGGGAATTTAATACATTCATATCTTTGTGCAGGCCGCCGCACCCTCGCCCGAGGCGACGCGGCGCGGGTGCGCAAGGTGCATGCGTAAAGCTTTTTTGTGCGCGCTCAGAGCTTGCCCGAGTGCATAAGGTGCACGCGGCAGCTGCTCAGGGGATCCGCGCGGCCAGCAGCGCCCGCCGCGCCGACAGCGGGGCCTGCGCCGGCGCGGCTGCTTCGCTCGTGCAATCGCTGCGTAGGGGGCCGACAAATGGCGGCGGCGGACGAGTGGCGGCAACGTTTGGGCAGAGGCAGGCAGGTATGTCAAACAAAAGCGGGGCCGAGCAAACTGACGCACGAGCCTGTATACTTCCGGCAAACAGCCAACACCGACTTGCTCAAATGGCATCTCCAATCTCGAAATGCGCCAGCCGGCGACGCGCGTCCCTGGGGCAGGCCGCGCCAGCGCCAGCTCAGTCGCGGTTGACAGAGAGCAGCCCGCGGGCCCTCGACTGCCGTCCCAAAGCCTCCGGCACACTGGCAGACCCCCGGAACAAGCGCCAGCTCAGACAGCAAGGGGCATCTGTGTCCCCATCTCACGGCAAAACCCGTCGCAGTCCTTAGAAAAGACACAAGGCGCGCCCTCCAGGCGCCCGCCGCCGGCCCAGGTGGCCGGCGGCGAGGGCAGCGGCCCGTCCGAATGCAAACTTCCAGACAGGATTGTGCGCCGCGCGGCAGAGCGCTCGGTGAATGCCAAGCGGATCAGGAAGACAGCGCGGCCGCCGCCGCGACGCGGCCCCTGCAGCTACGCGGGCCGCCGCTGCGTGCAGTAGCGCGGGTGCTGGCACGTGTGCGGGTGCAGGTGCCACCTGCAGTGCATGTGCGGCGCGCGGAAAAGGGTGCCTGGAATGAAGGCACCCGCGGGCTCCGGCAGGCGCACGCCCCCGCTCGCGGTTTTGGCGCTGACGGCTGCGGCGCCGCGAGAAGCGCTGGGGTTCCCCCGGGGGCGCGTGACGTGTTGGAAAATGATATGTATGTTGCTCGCCGCCGCAGGTGGCGCCTTCTTGGCGCCAGGTCAGGCCTCCCATTGAGGCGCCTGTGTGTGCGTGCCGGAAGTAATTAACCAACTGCTGTGGGCGGGCAGGCATGGCTCGCCATCCATGTGAAAGCGGAAGAGAAAGCGGCCGGCGTATGCCGCCGCCAGGCCGCAGGCAGGAGGCGGCGCCGCTTAGGTGTCGGGGGCCGCGACAAGGCAAAAGCGGGCCGCGCAGGCGCCGGACAGGGCAGCTGCGGGGCAGCTTCTAGTGGAGTGAGTGAGGAATGCTCAGGAAATCGTCGGCGGCGGCGGCGAGCAGCTGCTCGCCGCCGGCGGCGCGCCGAGGCCGCTTGCGTTCGCGACCTCGAACCCTGGACCCTAAACCCTGGACCCTGGGTGCGCATGATGAGGGGCTGCCTCAGCGGGCGCCTGGCTGCGGCTCTGGAGTGGGGTTCAAGGGTATTAGGGGCCAGGCGGAGGGTGCGAGGTGGGCCAAACTGCAGTGCTGCGCGGCGGCGCAAGGGCATGTGCCCAGGGCCGCCAATGAGCAAAGCGCGGGGCTGTGCAGCAGCGCGCGCGAGCGAAAGCGGGCGCGCCGCCGGCCGCGGCTGCGCCGCCGCGGCCAAGTCAGGTGAAGGCGCGGGACAGGATTCAACGCGCGAGCATGTGCATTCCATCCGTGCAGCGGGGCGGGCGCATCAAGAGCGAGGCCAGAGGGACGAGGCCGCGGGTGCTCGTCGCCGCGGGGCGCCGCCCGCGCGGCCCGCAGCGTGACAGGGGCTGGGGTTGCTTGGCGGGGCGCGGGGGCCGGCGGCGGCGGCGGCAGGAGTGCAGGCGAGGGTATGCCGCCGGCGGATAATGGCACTAGAAAAGGCAGAGGGCGCGTCGGCGGTGCGGGCAGGGGCGATGGAGAGCTGGGGGGGCGCGCACTTGCGCTCAAGGGGCGCGGCGCGCGGCGCGCGGCGCTTGTGGGCCGGGACGGCGGCCGGGCGGTCTCTCCAGGAATGCAGCCTCGGAGGCGCGGGCGCCGGGGCCGCCGGCTGGAAGGGCAGCGGAAGACGGGGAGGCACGCGTGGGGGCTTCCCTTCGCAGCAAACGACGCGGCGCCAAGACCCGCCCCGGCAGCCGCATGCGCGCGTTAGAGCGGCGCCAGGAGGATGGCTGCCGGGCGCCCGATGCCGCGACGGCGTCTTGCGCGCGGCGCAGCAGAAGAGCCGCCCGCCGCTGCGGGGCGGGGCGGACCTCAGACGAAGTCGTCGCTGCCAGCGCCGGCCACCTCCGGCGGGGGGAGCAGCCGCGCGCCGCTCGCGCTGCCGTTGACGCCGCCACCGCCGCCCGCGCGGCCACTCCCTGGCC